GGTTCGTGTCAACTTTGACCTCAAGTCCAGGAAAATTTTTCAATGTACAGTTTCTCAGTTGCCTTTGGAAAAACCTTGATCTCGGGGACTTAAAACAATCAGCTATTACCAGTGAATCATGCGGGAAATTTTAGATTGTCTTCACTTGTTAAATACCTTATGTTTAGTACTATCTTTTTACACGTACGCTTACAAGTTTATCTTATTTCATAATTTTCTTGTGTTTTAAACATGTCATTGAGAACATCTGGCTCAAGAGAATTTATTTCAACATTTTTAATTAGAATATATTTAGGTTTATATCTTTACGAGAATACGAATAAATCACGAAAATCTTCCGTAATTTGTTTCTGAATTGTAAAAAAAGTAAATGTCCCAAACAAATAAAATATATAAAATATTTCCTGGTTATGTAGGAAGTTTTACTACTGCATTCAATATTCTCCCTTTTTCCTTCTATGTTAAATTTCTATTAAATAAATAGGGAAAGCTATAATTTATTGATTTGAGGTTTCTGTAGAGTAATTAATAATGGCTTAGACATCCTAGACAAAGTGATGTATTCATTTTTCCATAAATTTGATGCTTTTAGACGTTTGAATTCTTCTCTATTTCTTTATTTGAAATACTAAGATTTTTGTTACTAGCTTGTTAACTGAAAAATCGACTCACAAAATATCAACGGTTAATCGCAACTCGTGTCCGTCAGTTACTTTCTGTATGGTGTTTAAAAGTCCTTCATTTGGTCCGATAAAAAGATAAATTTATCAATGAAATATCATAAAGAACAAAACGTTTTTATTTGTCCTTATTCATAGGTGTTTTTCAATTCGGCAAAATAACACAAAGATCTTTACCAAGTCAATGTTTAGAAATTTTAGCTTATAAACTCAGTCCTAAAATTTATACACGTTTTCTTTTTACATTTGATATATAATGAAAGGAAATTATAAGAAATGTTTAAATGCAAAATGGATAACGAAGAGAGCTGGATGATCCAAATTTAGGCGAGACAATAATTAACACATTTATTACAAGACTATTCTGGTCCATTCTAACACAAAGATGAGGAAAATGTTCTGTCTGTTTTTGAGTTAATGACACCAAAACATAACCATTAGTTAAACAAACTAATGACTAGTTAAATACTCTGCTTACCAGTAATATTTGTTACGTACTTCTCGCTAAAGTACTGATAACCCTTGGACACTTCTTTTGTTCCAAGTCTCTGACTAATTCCTTTTATTATGGATTCAACGAATCTAAATGATATTGATGGAACGATCGTTAAGTCCTGTGTTCCACTGCTGTCTTGTTTATCGGCCATGTTGCTATGAATACGACCTTAATCTCGTTCTGATAATTATATGCATATGCATGAGATCTCATTAAGAATGGAGTATTTAGAGATGTTGACTTATATTGATGTTTATACAAAAAGAAATGATAAAATATCTGAGCTGTTGTTTATCAGTCATTCTGGCTTGTTATTGGTAAAAGATATTGTAATTATCATGAATCAGTGAAAGGATAAGGTCAAATTAATATAGTAAGAGCTATATAATACAGTTTCCTATCTGATGACCACTTACCTCAGCCACTTACTTGAACACTGAAATCCTTCCTACTTTTATAAACCACATTTGATAATGATTTTAGTCTCATCTTAACACAGTGTTATTTTACAGTGTAATGTACTATTTTTGGGACAAATTATATGAAAATTAAATTATACAAAAGATTACAAGATAAAACTCACGCTATTTTATGTTTAATTGTATGTTTAGAAGCCCTTTGGTACAGTTTGACGGCTTCAGACATACTCCCTTTTACAACTGGACCAAATCACTACTTTTCCATAAAATGTATGATTTTTTTTTCTATTTTATGAATAAAAATAAATAAATTTGAAAGGTGTATGAAAAAAATTGCACGTAATACAATGTCCACACTAGTTACTGACTATATTTAGTAGACAACGAAAATCAAAAGAGTATAACTGTACTTTTTTTAAATATAAAATAGTTACCAAGAGTGGACAAGGTAACAATTTTCGCCTATTTCATTGATTATTTTTGGTTGAAAGTCATTGAGATCAAGATTTTATTACATGTATCTCAGAAACTCAAAAAAATGACAATTGATCCATGAAATTGAGTTAAAGGTCAGATAAGCACTCGTGGATGGACACGAACATATATTTAAATCATTCTTTACATACAAATTAGAGTACCTGAATCTGCTGTAACCACAAAATTCTAACGTTGGTCAATGTACAATCAACATAAGGTTAAGATGAAATGAATCGTATTAGACAGACAAGCGATACCTTAAAATCACCAAATATACTAAATATAGCTGACGTATTACTTGCAATAACTTAGAAACTGACCTCAGAATGAAAAGTTGTCAGCTAACCATGAAAATGGGATCAAGGGTCAAATAAATTATATCAAACAGACATCCAAACCAATCAATGTTTCTTTACACCTAATATAATTTACCTCTTGTCACAATAACTGAGAAACTAACTTAATCTTGAAAACTTAATTCTGATCAATCAACCATGGAATTAAGGTACACAGCAAATACATCCTGATAGACGGACATACACATATAGAAGAAAAAGCATCTTTAATATCACTTTCAGATATCACTTAATTACACTCAATTCAGAAAGTGATTGATCTCATATATTCCATTATATTTAAGATTAAGAATACTCACGAAATCAGAAGGTCTGATTTATATCTTGGTCATCTCCTCGACAATGACACAGATTGATGACTTCAAACAAGATTCTATAGCAAACGTGATGATTTCAACTTTCCAACTGTAACCTACCCACTTTTTCATTGTCCCATCATATGAAGTTTACATGTCTAAATTAATACGTTACGCTCGTCCATACGGATTTTGTTAACAGGGATATACTCTTTACACAATAAATGTCCCAACAGAGTTATGTGGAGATACATGCACGACTGAAATCAACATTTCAGAAGTTTTTCAGTCCACCATCACGAATTGGTTGACATACACATGTGTCTGTGTCACAATTCACTGGAGACAATAAATCGCAATCTTAGATTCTAAATACCAGAAAAGTCGTCTGTATTGATATTTACCAATTGTGTTCTATTCCTAGACTTGCTACAATTCCCTTTATTTATTTATTTCTTATTAATTAATATTTTACTGAAAACTGCAAGTATACTGATTGCCCTTGGAGAAAGGTTCCTCTGCAAATGTCAATCTAATGGGAATCTCTTAGTTATAGCAGTAAAATTGTAAATGGAGTAAAATTGAAGGAAAAAAAAGAAAATTAGGAAGGGACATGTAGCAAGTCTATCCTATTCCCAACTGTGACATTTCAACTGAGTGTGTGATGCGTGCATAGCAGGAATGGTTACCCTGGCAACGTACCCGGTCTTGTTCCTTTTAGAGGTCACGCGATTCCCCAAGTTTGTGTTTGTTACCTTGATTTGAATCTTCTTAATCAATTTATGAGAATTCAACATCAGTAAACTACAGCTGCCTTAATATATAGTTGATCTATTATTTATAGATATGAGAGTCAAAAAAGATCATTAATATATAGTTGATGTATCATTTATAGATATGAGAATCAAAGAAGATAACTGTTACTATAAGCAATATCAGAGGAGCCCCAATCCTTGTACTTGGATACCATATTAATATTAAGCCTTGAGTTCAACGATAAAATGAGGATGGAGCCAGGAGCCAGGAGCCTGTAGACTATGTTATTCTTAAGTTTATGTCCCTTTGGTTTGTTGGTTCATAGAGGTTTACTGTGCTTGGCTTCCGAAACCTTCGGAATAGGAATAACAGTTTCTTTATGAGGAGTTTAAACCGTCAAATCCCACTTAACGTTTACAACTCTACAAATACAGTTTACTGTTATTCTCATTCTAATCCAATATTAATTTAATATTAGCACTTGTGAAACATTAAAAATCAATCATTTGAAATATAACGGAAACGTCGACTGCGATTGTGCAACTTCGTTGCCAATGAATCAGACCGTCAATCGAGGATTCACGACAAAATTATTAACTCAAAACCGACTTAACAAATCATATTGCATTAGAATAAAAGATGAGAACATCATGGAACAATTGTATTGTGTACTGAAATCTATACCATGCTTTTGTATCAGAATGAGAAGGGTGGATGGTCACAATAAGAAAATATCAGATTTATAAAGTTGACAATTAGGTGGAAGTAGACAATATCTATTTTCGTTTCATAGAAACGAATAAGATAAAATATCCACATTTACAATGATAAGGAACGTTATAACAAATTCAAATACACAATCAAACAATTTTTTGATAGCATAGACTAATTTTGTTATTGAATGACAATATGTAAGGACCAATATAAAAGACAGAACCTTCAGCAAAGCCCTTAACATTTCGTTTGAATTTAAAATGTTTTAAAATTTACACATTTTTACTAAATAAAGAATAATTTGATATCGTCCTACTATAAGAGCCAGATTGTTTCAACATGTTTTAAAAGAAGTTCCATTTCCAACAGAAATGCTAAATACAACAGATATATGTTGATGTATTTTGAATGCGTCTACTTGCATCGACAAAATGTTCAAGTTTTAAGTTCCATTAATCTGCCTAAGAATCAGGTAGTGGTGAAAAACATGACAAACAAAAACCCGCTCAAATTTACATTAATTCAAATTCAAAATGTATAATTGTGCACGAATATAACATTCGTTTCCATTTCCTGTACTGGTACTTCCAAGACATAATTTGGTTGAAACGCCGTAAGAATGACCAATTAAGGGAAGCTAACTCCATAATTTGCTATTATTCTAACCAAATTATTTTCAGATTTGCCGAATTACCAGACACACAGAAACGAAAGACCTACCATTTCTAATTCAGAAGTAGGGGAACTTAAAAAAAGGATGGTTAGGTCGTCGGGTTTTTTTGGGGTTTTTTTTGCCAATTTTTGAAATTCTTCTCAATGGCCTGATTCTAACAAAAACTGGTGTTTAAAATTATTATATCGCTGAAAAAAACATAAAACAAACAATACAAATGATTTGATCTTGAACTCAATCATTAAAATTAAGTTCAGCCAGTAGTTTATTTGCACTTGTAAGGTTGTATACATCGATTGCAGATGCTCTTTGCAAACAATATCGTGCACTGTTTGTTTCGCCGATCATTTGCATAGCTATCCCAATACATATGAAAATATGGCGCACATCTGCAGCATCTATTCCCCTCTTACCATTAATGATGTTCTTGAGGACTTGTAATAACTGGCGTATGAAATAATTGCATGATGCAGAGTCTTTCAAATGGTAGCAGCATAGAAATCCAAGAAAAAGTGCAAATAGTTTAGGATGAATCAAGAAGTTGTGTTTTTGCACGTCCAGTTGTAGTTCTGTTGGTATGATCAAGGATCTTTGAACAAAAACTAGAGTATGTGTTGTCAATGTTTGCAAGGACGTCATCAACTTTTCGTTTGCAATCATATTCAATGCACATATCTGTTTCCTGTTGAGACTACTCTTGTCAATTGGAATTTTCTCGTCTGTAAACTGCAATACAACGTAATTTATTATAGATACTGTTTTTATGTATTGTTTTCTTTCATAAAAAAAACAAGCCAACATTATCCACCCAGTTACTGTATCTGTATGTACACCTATAAGTAGATGACTGATAATATTTTGATACTTGATATATTTTAGTTTGTTTGACCCCTGTGGAATTTGTAAACGTTGTGGTACAATCTGATGTGCACGTAACAGAAAGAATGTAAAAATATCTGCAGACATCCCACTTCTAGAATAATGAAGTAATGTGCTTAAGAGCATATATATTTTTTCTTCAACTGCATAAATGCCACAAGAAATGGTTTGTTTGATTTCATTGACTAGTCTGGCATTACGACATAATGGTTGGTTGATTTCCCCAGAATACTTTGGATAATCCATAAGTGTTTCTGTAGCGAATAAATATTGTATTCCTTGTTGATACGACATTTTAAGGAGATTGCACAATTTGTTCCTGTTAATTGCATTGAACCGTAAATAAAACAAATTATTTTCTGGAACAAAATAATGTAACAATATGTTATAGTCTACACAGTACAATAGTCTGTGTAGACATGCTTGAAAACACGGAATTATATTATCCGGTCTCCAGATCGACGGGTCTGACTCTTCTAAGATCCAAAACAAGAGAGTCTTAATAAAATACGAACAAAGCAAACCTTTCAGACAAATTTCTTTGTCAACTACTTCTTTCAGGAAAATCTTTAACAACGCATAAAACAGTAATTGTGTATGATTGAAAGAAAATATAAGAAATTTTTCCGATACAGAATATGACATTCTCCATTCAATGTGTTCATTAATTGACTCTTTGCCGCCGATTGGTACAAACAAAACGCCACAAGAAATGATTTTAAAAATAACATCAGCCGAGGGCCATTTTGCGCGAGATCTTTTTATCCATGGTTCTGAGTGGGATATCCATTTTTCACATTTGAGGCATATCGCTAGATCAAGTTGGTCGTCGTTGTCGGCCACACATGGTCCATGTATTGTATCAAAGTATTTGAATTTGGTAGATAAGCGATCAAGTTGAATCTCTTTAAACATTTTGCTGGAAAGCACTATCCCTGTATGATCAGCGTGTGATAGTATATCAGGAATGCATAAAGGGGTACCATCACATAAGATTTTTAGTTTAGTAAAACACGGTTGGGTGTCGTCTGTGTCCATTACTAAAGGAATCTTCTGATTTTGAGCAGGCATATCGCTAAAATATTCATACACTGCAAATTCGGAACTTATCATCATCAAATCAACGTCGCTACCTTTTAAATTTAGTCCTTCGCCGTTACTCCCACTCCTGATTGGTCTGAAACGTCCACTTCCAATATCACAAACAATAGAAGTAATTCTTCTAGCTTTAACATCCTCTTCAGAACCAATTTTCTGACACAAGTATTCGTAAAAATGAAACGAGTCATCTCTCTGTCGTGACATTTGTTTGTGTCAGTATAAAATCTATAATATAAATAAAAATTGCATCATTACAATGTTAAACGTGTTGTTTTCAATTTTTTACATCACTGGGTCGATACCTCTGCTGGTGGACTATCAGTCCCCGAGGGTATCATCAGCTCAGTAGTCAGTACTTCGATACTGACATGATTTAAAACAAACCTTTCTAAAATTGTCTGTTTATAAATTTTGAAATTATAAAGAAACTAAGGTTTCAACTCCCTCAGGCAAAGTTGACCTTAGATGAATTTGGCTATTTGTTTTAGGTATTTTTGTCATATAGCTCTTCAACTGTTTCGGTACTTATACATCCCTCGGATTTCAAATGTTTAGCTTTGAGCGTTCCTGATGAAGGTAAATCCAGAAAAGCGCTTCGGACGCATGAAATTATCAAACGTGTTGTTTTCAATTTTTTGTTGTCTATCCATCTTCGACTGTTCTCTTAAGCTTATTACTAATATCTCATGGTTTGATAGTAAAAAGAAAAGATGTTGATATCGGGGTCTTTCTGATCCCTCTATTTTTACACTATTTTCAAACCTTTTCAAGCTTGCAATTTGAATGGTACAATGAATATTCCTTCTATTTATTTTTTTTTAAATCGAACTTTAATTTCTAGCACGTGCATTAAAGCTGTGACAGGTTAAGATTAGCAAAAAACAACAAAATTGCCGTGCCGCCTGCCACCCTCCCCTCCACTCCAAAAAAATACAGCGTGTTTTGATATTATTTCCATATAATGTTTGCAATTTGAATATTAAAATGAATTTCCTCTCTAATTTTATTATATAAATCATTGGTTTAACCTTACTCTTAAGGATGTTCGCTCGACTTGTTTTTTGATTTTTTGCCAGTTATTCGGAATCCTCTGTTTTTATCCATGTATTGCCATTAAAAATGTTGCCCACTAACCCTTACTTTTCTTTCCATAATTTGATTACATATAGTTTAAATGGCATCTTTGATATTCTTATAAAATCCTTGTTATTTTTTTCATCGTTTTTTAAGAAAAAAAGGTGCCAATATTAAATGTATGAAAAATCTAGAGATAATTATTTTCCGCCAAATTTTCAATGGCTTATATCTCGAAAACAAGCACACGGGCCCTTCATTTTTTCTGTTTTTTTTTTTAGTTTCTTTATTCATATACTATCAATTTTTAACAGTCTTTTTAAAAGCTTGTTATTTTGAAATAGAGTAGGAACATCCTTAAACTCGTCTAACAAAAAAAAATTTCCCTCCTTTTCAAATTTTTTCTTGTCCTTAATATGCCTGAAAATTTGTCATTGGATGGTTAGCAAACAACAATCAATTAATCTATCACGATAACCTTTGTTTTTTGTTCTGCGACGGGTGCGCTATTTTCCAATTTACGTAAAGAATTGAATGATATGATGTATTTTACTAACACATATACAAAGCACAACATTATGATGTCATAACGTGAAGAACAACTCCTCAAAATATAAAAAAAAACATTACCTTAAAGCTTACGATTCAAACTCCTTCCTAAATATGAAATAAACATTCACAAGTGGACTTTTAGTAATGCGAACGCTGTAACCTGCAAACTTTTGATTTTAAATGTGAAAATACACCAAACAATCCGTTCCTGCTTCCGTGTTGACTTATATACATGTCATAGATCTATAACAGGTGGATGAAACCGAAGCTTTAAGGTGAATCAAGACTATAATTTCAATCCATTACAGTGATTATTCAACAGTTAAACGATTTTCGAAAGTGAAACTTATTTATCAAAAGGTTCACAAATCTAACATTTCAAGGTATGCGAGTAAACATTTACAAAAAATAGAAATTAATATTTAAATTACAATCCATAGTTAGAATCACAAGCGTATAAATTATAGTTAAAACATCCGATTATCTCGGCGACACAGCTCACTGACAACTGTTTAAAGCAAACAGCAATAAAATTCAAACTAATTGATGTAGTTTAAAGCAACATTCTACACACTCAATTCTTTTTAATATTCTCTGACTAAATGTATCGTATACGCAGGCTTAGGCTAAATTTCCCCCTTTTACATCACCAAATTCTGAACTCTCGCCTGTACGTGTTGGTCAAGTGCACTTGCCACTTTTTTGAATGACCAGAAAGAGACCTGGCAGGATAAGGTAATTTATTTTATGTTCTAGTTCGCCAGACTTAAACGAACAAATTATTTATACAATACAACTCAACACATGTATCAGCAATGAGCGCTCCTTGTGAGAGTAACATACTTTCGAAAATGAGCTCTCCTTGTGCGAGTAGCATACTTTTATTTATATCCAATGTATAACATAACTCAAAAACAGTTTGTTTTTCTTTTCAAGCACACTACGGCTCATTCTCAGTCGTTACTCGGGTTTCAAAAACAGTCATACAGATAAGGCTCAATCACAGCCATCCAGTTAAAACATACAAATATACATCAATCTACAAAACAAGAAATACAAGTTAATATAAAGCATTATAAAGCATTATAAATAACCATTACTTTCCACATAAGAACAATAGACTGTCTAGGTGATGGTTGGTTGGAGGTTAACACAGGCAATGCAGTATTAAGGAGTATGCTACTCAGCGTAAGGCAGAACTTCGAATAATGACATTATAAATTACATTTAATTTATATGAAACAGCAAGCACGAGAAACACGAGCTAAAATCAGACGTTACATAGAATGCATGTTTAATTCGGAGAATTATACCTGCAATGTGACAAATTTTATAGCTATAAATACGTTGCATCATAAATTCTGAGTTGACCTCAACTGCGTCATTAGGTCAGATGGAATATCCCCGACTAAAAATAAACGTACTATCACTGGTCCGGACATATACCCCTGTGTACCCATATTCTCCCATTCAATTTCCATCTGCGACATTGGTCACACGTGTATTTACAGATTTAACAGAGAAGCTTTTTGTTGTTGTAAAGTTTTTTTTTTAATTGCTTAATTGCTTTTCAAATTTATATTGTGTATTATTGGAGAATTATTCCCTTGTTTAGAATTAATTTCTAGACAAACTTTTTTGACTAAATTTAATTATGGACTATAATTTGAATAGTCCTTTCGTCACTATTCCTGGTTCGGACTATCTCCTGGATGGGTCACTACCTTTAAGTCCCCCCTAACTACCAGTACATTAACCGGAGTTTCGACAACGGTGTCTGGTAATGCTACCTATCTGACCCTTTCACAAGGTTCGGCCATGCATTGGGGAGGGGGGGGTCCCTACGTCAACTTCGGTGACTCATACCTTATCTAGGCCTGTTAATTCATTGGGTACTATTCGTTTTGTCCCAGGTACAGCTATGGGCTTGAACTTGCCAGGTTCTAGACCCCCAGTATCCTATTGTGGGTATATGCTTCCCAACTCGGACACCCAACCTTTACCCTCATGGTCTCATCCACCTTGGCCACAGTTTTACCCTTATGGTGGATCTATGCCAAACAAACCTGGTTTTTGGCCTTATAGGGATAATATCTATGGTCCCCCTTCTGGGGTAGCTACCGCTTCACCAGTATTAGTATCTTTGACTCCTGCAGTAGCTTCTTCTAGCCCTGTATCAGACTCTCGAGCTCAGTCTTCTAGCTCTTCTCATGGTAATCAGGGTTCTGAGTCTGCACCATCCTTAGATGGTTTTCTGAAGTTACTTTTGGACTTTGGTGAGTCTTTCAAGGCTGAGTTTAGTACTCTATCCAGTCGTATGTCTCTACTGGAGAATAAAGTTTCTTCTCATCAACCTTCTCCAGCTAAGCCTGTAGAATATGATGAGAGGGAGGTTGACGAGCCTGGGAGTCAAGAAAGGGCTTTCTGATGATGATGTTGATAGTTCTTCTCCCAAGGTATCGAAGACGGCCCCTGAGCCTACTTCTAAGTCAGCTCACCAACCTTCCACCAAAGAGACTGAGGATCCGACTTCATCCTTGAGGGATCGTAGGGATAAGGTGTATAATCTGATGAGGGATGAAGCACATATCCCTTTTGCCTCTCCTTCCAAGCCGAAGAGACCTTATTCAACTTTTGAATTTTCCTGTGGTATTTCTCAGGATACTGTGACTTCTCACAATTCTTTTCCGGAATCTGGCCATATAGCATTTGCTTAACAAATTATCAATGAAGGTATTGCTAATTCGGCTAGTGAAAAGGTTGCTAATAACAATATCTCTGGTTTCGGTATGTCTTCCTTTTCTGATCACTTCAAGTACAAAGATTTTGATATCTTTGATTCTTCGCTTGGTAGACTTGTTCCCATTTGTGACAAATCTTTTTCATCTTTATTAGGAACAAAGCCAGTAGATGGTCTTCGTCTCACTCAAACTGTTTGGGCAAAGACTGGGAATCTCCTTCGTAGTGCTTCTCAAGCTCTTGGCACAGCCGAACATTTTCTAGCTGCAACCGGACATTTGCTTAACAGCGAAGATTCAGTTGTTCCAGCAGGAGTTCGATCTTTCTTACTTCAACTGGATAAAGCTCTAGGTTCATCTCAGTTGCTTTTAATGGGTTCTATTGCTAATTGCACCCTATCTAAAAGAGCAGAGTTTCTTGAAAAAACTTCTGTTACTGAGTCTGAAAGATTCTTTACTGAAATCTCTACTTTCTGTCAAGATGTTTGGTTTACCCTAACAGCGGGTTCAAGAGGAACTCAGCAAAAACCCTCCTCCCGTCAAAGTTAATGTACAAGTTAACAATTGCAAGAGGTCGGTTAATGCTACATCTAGTTCTACTAGTACTTCTGCTTCTGGTGGTCCTCCTTCTTCTGCTAAGAAAAGGAAGAATAACTACGGAAAACCTCAGAACAAATCCCATAACTCCGGTAAAAGCTCAGGTAAGCCTTCTGGTGGTTTTAAGGGCCCCAAGAAATCTGGGTCTAGTACCTAGGTTCTTGCCCCCTCGTACGTTATTGACAGCTTCCCCAGGGGAAAATTTACAACAAGTTTCTCAAAAATCAATACCAGTAGGGGGGAGGTTACGTTTTTTCCTAAATCAGTGGAAGAAAATTACCTCAGACTGTTATGTGCTGTCAATAATTCGAGGGCGATTAACACTTCAGTTTAAGAACCCACCTCCTCTGTCTGCAGTTCCGATAAGTTTGTCTAATACTCAAGACTCAGTCACGTATCAACTTCTATCAGTAGAAGTAGAAACTATGTTACAGACATCTGCAATAGAGGAGGTGTCGCTCTTAACTCTGTCTGCGAGATTTTATTCCCGTATTTTTCTGGTTCCAAAGAAGACTGGAGGGATGAGGCCGGTCATAGACCTATCTATTCTGAACAATTTTCTTATTTTTCCCCATTTCAAAATAGAAACCAACAGATCAAGCAGGGCTTCAATCCTTCCAGGAATGTGGACTACCTCTCTGGATTTTTTAGATGCTTACTTCCACATTCCCATTACCCATACTTACAGGAAATACCTTCGCTTCGTTTGGAACAACAAAGATTTCCAGTTCAAGGCTCTCCCTTTTGGTCTATCTACAGCCCCTTTGGCTTTTAACAAAATCATGCAGGCAGCTATAGCTCACATACATTCCCTGTCTATTCAGATTCATTCCTACTTGGACGATTCCCTTCTTAAGGAATTTTGCCCAATCAAATTGAGGGTTCAGACAGATTTGGTCATCAATTGCTTTCTGTCCCTAGGCTTCCTAATTTCCTGGAAAAAGTCAGAGATAGTTCTTTCTCAAGACTTTCTTTTCCTGGGAGAACATTTCCTAACCAATCTAGGCCTAGTTCTCCCCCCAGAGGAAAAATTTACAAAACTATGTCAGAAAATACATTTATTCCTGGCAGATTTAATTCCATTGGGTCGCCTTCACATTCGTCCGCTTCAGTTTAATCTGCACAAGTTTTGGATTCCAGCTTCACAAGAATTGGAAGCATTGATTCCAATCACTCAGCCTCTATTTTCACATCTTCAATGGTGGTTAGTACGGGAAAATGTAATGAGGGGCCTATCTCTGTCCCCTCAAGTTCCCAGTCTAACATTATTCACAGATGTCTCCACCCTCGGTTGGGGAGCATATCTGGAGGGGCTTACAATCTCGGGAGTCTGGAATTAAGATCTTTTGGAAGAGCATATCAATGTATTGGAAATGAAAGCAGTTCTGTTTGCACTGAATCATTTCCAACTGTCTCTAAAGAATCAGTCTGTCATTCTGGCCACGGACAGACACAACAGTTGTAGCTTATCTCAAGAATCAGGGAGGAACTCACTCGACTTCTCTTTATCAGATAGCCAGAGACATTCTCCTACTGTGTTTTCAACTCCAGGTTCATCTAGTGGTGAGACATATTGCGGGGCACCTCAATATTCTAGTCGACGCTCTATCCAAATCCCTTGCTCCAGTAAACACGGAGTGGGAACTAATTCAAGTAGTTTTCAAAGCTGTGACTCTTCATTGGAGGTTACCTCAGATAGAACTGTTTGCGACCAGTCTCAATCACAAATTTCCCACATTTGTGTCTCCGGTTCCAGATCTGAAATATTTTGCGGTAGACGCAATGAGCCTATCTTGGAAAGGAATGTTCGAGTACGCCTTCCCTCCTTTCAGGT